TTATTATAATATTCTTGAGTTTAGCAACTTATTTGAACTGCTCTTCTTTCTTCTGGAGGCGCAGATAAGACCTTGGGGAAAAGGTTAGTTCTTGTTTTGGATCAGACAAGTGGAGTCTGACTCCCAGCTAGTGTGAAGGCAGACTTGTTTAAAGGGAACACAAGCAATGTTGTGTCTCCTTAAAGACCAGATGTTGAATAGATGGTGGAAGGTCAGCCGTACCTAAACTGACCATTGCTGGACGCTACAGACCCCCCTTTCAAAGGGCACGGGGTCCTGGCAGAAACCACGGGTCGTTGGAACTAGTCAGAGGCCCTTGGGACTCAGTTGAGGAAGCACAGGTTAGTTTCCAGGCAAAGGCCCCTGGAGTGAGGAAAGCAAACCCCACACCAGAGAATAGTCAATGTAGCTCCTTAAACAACAACAAAAAATAATAATCCACTTCTGAGAAACAAAAGTAATCCACTTATCAGGATCCCCAGGAATGTAAACAGATGACCAGAGGCCGGTCCAGGCCCCAGGCGAACCGCAGAGCTCCCGTAAGTACGGCAGGAACCACAGGACGTCCAGACCCACACGAACCAAACCCTCAGTCAGCAGGCAGCTACATCAGGCGATGGTGTAGAGAGACCCGCCCAGGAAGCGACGATCACAGGCGAACCCAGAGGAGAAGAAGAGCAGACACAGGGCATTTCAATGTAGACACACATGGATGGCGCCTGATGCAAAACAACAAACAAAAATAAACCTAGCACTACATGTGCCTACATGTTTTATGTGAAGCAATTATGTGAACCCTGTATGTGCTATGTGAAGCAAATTATGTGAACGGAGTTCAGGTGATAGAAATGGATGTAGTAAACTACGGGTACTGAAAAATTGTTGAAAAAAGAACTAAATCAACATAACCCTATAATACAAGTAAGGGAAAATCAACGCTTGAAGCAAAAAGTTATCAAAAAAGAAGGCAAAATAAACTGTAGCCCATAACTGGTAAAAATCAAAATAAAATTGATCATAATAGAAATGACAAAAGGAAATCAGCTGTAATGAAATAATGCAGAAATATATCTGTGATTATCTGTTTAAAGAATCAGTAATACAGCTAATATAAAGAGGATAAAACACATTAATGTAAATCAGTGATGTTAGGACTCAAACCTACATGTGAATATACACAGTAGAAATTAGAGATTAGTAAATAAAATGAAGTATATAAAAATTAATAAATGGACCCAAATTAGTCCTTCAGTGTACAAAAAATTTTTTTTTGTCAAAATCACTAGAAGTTGAAAAATACAAATTGCTTTTGGATCAAACATAACAGTTAGTGGATTTACTCACTTTTAACTGTCATGACCTAACAGAACCGCAACAGTGTCATCCAAGTTCGTATGCTACATTTAGACATGAATTCTATCCACGCACACACATACACACAACAGAACTTGTGAGGCCTGAAACAGGGAACCGAAGGAGAGTGGATGGAAAATTCACCCCCCTTTTGAGTCAATTTGATTTTGGTCAGCAGATCCATGGGTTGCAGCTTCGTCCAAATAGGCGGAACCCTTGTGTAATTTGATCTGATTTCTGTGGACCCACTTATAGATGGGATCTTTGTTCCATTCGGTGATCTTGATCTGATACACAATTGGAGAGAGTTTTTCAGTTATCCGGTATGGACCGGACCACTTCGGCACTTAGCCAGTTTACCAGAGGTTGTTTTTGTTTGACCAGCATTTGGAGCAAAAATATAGAACCAGGCCTTATCACCCATGATGAGTTCAGAATGTGAGGTCTTCTGATCATAATAGGCCTTCCTGCCTTCAGCTGATCTCTCCAGATTTGTCTGTGCAAAAGAAAACGCTGCAGGCAGATGGTCCAAGTCTTGCAAATACTGCTCGTTGGTGTAAGCTGTATCTGTACTGGGTTGAAATGACTGATACAGCAAGTGAAGCGGCAGGGTCATTTGTCTACCCGTCATCATCTCAAACCGGGAGACCCCTGTAGACTCATGAGGAGTGGCCCTTATGGCCATAAGGACCAACGGAAGCTTCACATCCCAGTCTCTGTGATTAGAGGACACATATTTCTTCAACATGCCAAGAACTGTTCGGTTCATGTGTTCGACCTGGCCGGAAGACTGGGGCCGATAACCAATGTGGAAATTGGCCTTGACACCCAACATCCTCCAAAGGTGTTTCATCACCCCAGAGGTGAAGTGAGTTCCCCTATCCGAGCTAACACGTTCGGGGAGACCGAACCGGGAGAAGATGTGATTCATCAAGAGGACAGCAGTTGCCTGAGCTGTGTCGTTAGGTGCCGGCAAACACTCAACCCATTTGGTGAATGCACACGTCACGGTCAAGAAGTATTTGTTACCTCTGCTGGACTTGGTCATGGGCCCCACCCAATTGAATTGCAGGTCCGACCACGGAGTGGACGGCCCTCTGCTCTGAAGAGGAACTCTGTGGATGGGGTTAGATGGTTGAAATTGGCAGCAAACCAAACAGCTCCGGATGTAGTCTGAGATGTCCTGATGCATCCCCGGCCAATAGCAACCTGGCTAAGGGCACTGAACGGGGCCTTGACACCTTTGTGCCCAGAAGAAGGAGAATTATGAGCTTGTACTATCATAGCCCCCCGTAGGGACTGTGGTGCCACAAGGACAGGTGACGACATAGGCTTGGAGATGTGCATTAGCAAACCTTTAACCATCCTCAGCGTGACACGAACCCAAAAGAGAGCAAGGGAGCTCAGGAACAGAGCCAAGCTCGACAGAAGAAGGCAGATGAGCTGTCGGATAAGAAAGGTACAGGCTCATCCTGCTGATAGCAGGGTCCCGGGACTGGAGGCTGAAAAGGTTGTTGTCAGAAAAGACTGGTTTAACAGACACGAAACCATCAGATGGTCGAGGGATGGACGCCTTAGCGGCCTGAGCTCGAGTCACGACACACACAACGGGTGGGTCTGACCGAGAGGACACATCGTCAGGGAGCCACAAGGGGTCAAAGGACCACGGAGTACCAACAGCTGCACCTTGTGTGGCAAGAGAGTCTGTAAGATTGTTTAGATCCTTATCAGCTCCAAGTGAATGAGAATGACCTTTGACCTTACGCAAAGGTAAATGATTGTCATGAGAAGTTATCAGTAGATCTGGGGGCTCTCGGAGTGTGGTACCTGAAGAGGACTCAGGTACATACGGTCGCGTTAGGAGAGGCTGCGGAGGGAGTTTAGCTGCGTTGGGCATCAGACAGACGCCTGCAACTAACAAAAGGTACTTTGGCAGTCCTGAAAACTGAAACAAAGAATGTTTTGGACCGTACATTTGTTTAGGCGCGGCTTTGCGAGGGATCAGCGCAGGTGAGCTCTCTGGAGGGCCCTTGGTCGACGCACAGGTGCAGTCAGAGAGACTAGGGTCTGCCAGTAATGGTACAGGGTGGCAGGCAACCCCCCCCCCGATGGTAGGTGGATCACCCCCCTCAGTGATAGAGGTCACCAGCGCCAGCAGTACCGGTGGAGGAGGGTCAGTGATCTCAACAGCCCCCCTTTTGGCAGGTGGTGTTCCCACCGCAAGGTACTGGGCCACGGCCAGAGTCTCAGCACCACCATTAACTCCCCCATCGGCAGGTGGTGTTCCCACTGCAGGGTTTGGTGTCTCAGGTGGAGTGTCACCACAACCTCCTTTCAAAACCATCTACTTGAGCAGGTCGGGAGTATATCGCAGGGCTGTGCTGTCGTATTTATGTATTTGTAAGATGAAGTCTTCTGAAAAACGATGAAAACCTAGACATTTTATCAATCTATGAATCTTCCCAGATGCCCCTAATAGCACATAAAAAGCAAAAATGTCACGGAAAAAGAGGTTTGGTCACCTTGCATAAAGTGCATGGTTGTTAACCGTTATTGCTGCTAGCTAACTGTTACCAGTAGATGAGAGAAACATTGCCCTCTTTTTTCTACTGCCAGCCTTGTACTTACATTTGCCGTTAATCCAACCAAACTCTGGCTACAATAGGCAAGATAGTGTTATAAAATTGTTTTATACGAGTGGTGTATAATTGCGGTCTTTGCATGTTTAGAGGTTTTTCTGTCAACACCATCAATCCAACCTTCCATCTTCTTTGCTTATCCGAGGTCGCGTCGCAAATATGTGACATAACTGATAATAAAATCATCATAAACTCATCGAGTAGATTTGTTTGGTGTCTTTAAGATCTGAAACAATGCATTTTAACAATAAACAGTTATTTTGATTCATTATTACTGTCAAGCAATCAAGTCTTATTAAACTTACTTTAGATAAAACATTCATTGGTCTATGGTTGTAATTAATCTGTAAAGTGGGAAAATCATTGTATAAAACAGAATATTAATCTTTCATTAAGGTTAAAAGGTCTCGTCTTCTCCAGAAGTCCTGCAGCACAGATAAGGAGCAGGAAAGGAACTTTGTTATGGCGGTTCCCCAGATGGCGAGGTCAAAAATAGAGCATTTGTTCTGGTTTGGAAAGCAGTTTACCTTTAGCCCAATGATGAAGATGGCTGGGCAGTGTAATGACCTTTGGTATTACATGGCTTTCTTACACTACAGTGTGAATGGGTGAATGGCCTTGGGGGGATTGGAGAACCCTAGAAGGCCCTATACAAATACAAGACATTTACCATTTCGAAACATTAAAATAATGCTCTTTGGTTCCCTTAGATCCGTTTCACTCCCACAGGTGTGGTCCTTGAGGTGTGTGAACCGCTCTTAGTCCGAGCTCTAAGCTGAGACCATGTTGCCATGGGAGACAGGGGCTGATGGCCCTGACAACACAGCTTACAGGATCATGGAGCTCCTCAAACCCTTCCACCACGATAAGGTGGCGATTCTGCGGAAGGGATTATTTTTTTTTCTCTTTAATTTTAGTTATTTTTTAAAGTTGTTTATTTTCAAACCAGTTTATGTTTAATTTTCTTTTTTTTGTTTATTTTGGTTTTATTTTTAATGCTCATATCCATCTACATCCTAGATCTGTGTTCCTATGAAAGGGTCGGTAATAAAGACGTGACATAAACACTAAACAATGCAACAAAAGTCAGATTTTTGTTTCTCAGCTCGTTGATGTCAGCTTCTGAACCCTAACCCCTAAGTATACGATTGGACTATTAATCTAAATTATAAGTAAGTCTAAATTATAAGGAAGTCTAAATTATAAGGAAAATCTAAAGTAAGAGTCATAAAAGATTTTCTGTCCCTTCTCGCAAAAAAACCCATCTTTGTCACATTGTTTGGGTTCAGTTACTCGCATTTCTCTCATCAAATGCTGTTGGTCCTTCAGATCCTTGAAACTCTTCTTTGCTTCTTCAAACTCTATTTCCTGTTCCAGAGCTTGCCTCGTCAGCTCTACATTTCCAGATCAAGCTGATTTGATTCTTCCCCTTTTTCCTCAAATGCCTCTTGGAGACGACTGTTTATTTCTGCATTCTCCTTTTCAGATTCTGTCTTCTGTGTTTCAAAGTGAATCATTTCCTTCTGAAACATTTTCCTATCAAGAATCAGATCTTCTAATCCCTTCTCCAGATCTTTTTGTCTCTCATGTAAACTAAGTTTTTCTGTTGCAATCATTTTTTCCAACTCCAATTTTTCTTCCTCCAGGCTGTGTTTCTTCATTTCTAAACTATCTCTCTCCTCCTGGAGACCCCGCTGGATGTCTCGTAAAGTCTGATAAGACTCTTTCTCCATCTCCTCAAATGTATTCCTCTGATTTTCCAGACTTTCTAGTCCAGCGTCTAAATATATAAGCCCATGTTGGAGATAATTGTACATTTCACTTATCTCCTCTTCAGATTTAGTCTGGGGAAGTTCAAAACTCATCATTCGTTCCTGCAGAAATTCAGTCTGAGCAGGAGGACTTTCCACCTCGTCCTCCGCAGCTGTTTCAGTATTATTTATGTTGGAGGTTTCTTTTTGATTTGCTTCTTCAAACTCTGTTTCCTGTTCCAGAGCCTGCCTCATCAGCTCTAAGCTTTCTCTCTCGTCTTTCAGAGTCTGAAGGACTGAATTCATTTCATGAGGTGAATCTTCCTTTTTCTGCTGAAAGTGAATCATATCTTCACTCAGACTCTTCCTATCAAGAATCAGATCTTCTAATCCCTTCTTCAAAACCATTTGTTTCTCATGTAAACTAAGTTTTTCTGTTGCAATCAGTTCCACAAACTGATTCTTTTCATCCTGCAGACTCTGTTTCATCAGCTCTAAATGTTCCCTTTCATCCTGGAGAGTCTGATAAACTTCCAGATGAAGCTGATTTGATTCTTTCTCTTTTTCCTCAAATTCTGCCATCTGTTGCATCAGACTTTCCTTCTCGACATGTAAAATGTCTAACCCCTCTTGGAGACGACTGTATATTTCTGCATTCTCCTTTTCAGATTCTGTCTTCTGTGTTTCAAAATGAATCATTTCCTTCTGAAATTTTTTCCTGTTGAGAATCAGATCTTCTAATCCCTCCTGCAAATTGTTCTGACCGGTTTTTAGACGAAGTCTTTCTGCTTTTATCAGTTCAAGAAAGTGAATATTTTCCTCTCGCAGCTCCTGATTCATCCGTTCTCTCTCTTTTTGCAGGAGTTCCTTATTATTCTGATCCAATTTGTTCTGAACTTCCACAAATTTGAGTTTCTGCCGCTCCAGGCTTTGTTTCTCCAAGTCTAACGATGTGTAGCCTTCCTTGAGAATGCTGTATATTTCTTCATGCTCCTTTTCTGTCTCAGCCTTTGCTTTGTCAAAGTTCAACTGATCTTCCTGCAGGGCTTTTGTCTGGAGAATTACATCTTGAAAGCCTTTCTGTAAATTATTTTGACTTTCAGTTAACTTTAGCTTTTCTATTTGAAGCTTATTTTTAAAATCCATCTTCTCTTCCTCCAGAGTTTGCCAAATAAGTTGTAGATTTTCTTTCTCTTCTTGCAGAATCTGTCGAGCATTTTCAGTCTCCAGCTCTGAGCTAGACTTCTGCTGTTCGAACTCGTCTCTCTCAGCCTGCAAAGCTTGTCTCAGTTCTTCAAGTTTGTTTTCTGATAATTTCTTTGATTCATCAAAATCGAATTTCTCTTTCTCCAGATCTCTTTTCATCTGGTTTATTTCTTCAATCGCGTTTGCTTTGCTGTCTTGCAGCGATTTCCAAAGCTTTTCCGTTTTAGATTTTTTCGTAATCAAATCTTCTAGAAATTCCTGATTTGATGTTTTAACTTCTTCAATCTGCTTCCATTCTTTTTGAATTTCTGTCTTAGCTGTGTCCAAATCTTTGCTTTCCTGCTCAAGCCTCCGTTTCTTTTCTTCTAGACGTTGATTTTCGTCTTCCAAATCATCTTTCTCTCTCTGGAAAATGATTTTAAGCTCATCCTTGTAGTCGTTAAATTTTTTCAGAACTTTAAAAAAATCCTGCTTATCATTGAAAAAAATCTGTTTTTCAGTTTCTACAGACCTTAATTCGTCCAGTGGATTCTTGCGACTCTCTTGTAAATCCATATGATTTAGGTTGATAGCTTCAGCGGACATCTCTGCTAGTGGCTAGTTCCTGTCGCGGTGATAGACTGTTGCCTTCTGACCTGTTGAGTAGACTGATGATGTCAATAAAGGGGTCTGTCGGTCTGGACTGTACCTGTACCTGTCACTACGCATGCGTGGTACCGGAAACCCGATCGGTACCACGCATGCGCGAAAGGCGTCTACTTCCGCTCGAAGCATTTTACGATAGTTACGGGTCAGAGAGTATCTATTAAGATGTTAAAAATAATAAGTATCTATTAAAATGTATGCAAAGAAACATTTCAATATAATGTAGATAAAAATGAAAAAAAAAAGAAAAGGTCGGACCGTACAGATCCGGTCTACCTGATCCGTACCGCGCATGTGCAGATGTTCTATTCTTCTTGTGATCCGTTCAATGGCAGTTTACTCCGCAGTGTATGAGGATACTGCCACTTGCTGACCGAGCGAAGTAGCCCGATTGTAAATGTTGGTTACGTATTGTAACCCCAGATTCTATGAGTCTAGTCGCAGCCCTTAAGCTAGCTGCTATTGGAAGGATGATCTCCGCATCAGCCAATCATGAAGAGCTTAAATGTACGCCCACCAATAGTGGGCCCCCTCGTGGTATATAACCGCAGTGACCCCACTGCTCACCTCCAATGGCTCTTATTCCCATCATAACCAGTGGGGCCAGTGGCTTAAGGGCTGCGACTAGACTCATAGAATCTGGGGTTACAATACGTAACCAACGTTCTATTTTGTCTAGTCTTAGCCCTTAAGCTAGCTGCTATTGGAATAAAGCGCAGCTGGATGGGTTTACGCCCCACTGGTTAACACAACCAATGGACACACCCAATCAAATCTCCTCTAGTGGGGGACGTTCAGCCTCAGACCAGGCCTAAAGACTGAGGCAGGCACGATAAGAGAGGGGCCCCCACTAAAAACATCATCCACAAGAGGATAAAATCCATCTCAGCAAGGCCAATGAGGTGCCATAAGCATTGATTTAGCCTGCTGGGGTCCAAGCACTGAACGAGTGATGGAACCTGAAGACACATCTCGTAAATAATAACGAGTAAAGGAACAGGGTGAAGCCCATGAAGCAGCCTGACAAATGTCTTCCATTGACACACCACTGAGGAGCGCCATCGAAGAGGAAATCCCTCTGGCCGAGTGAGCCCTGAGTGCCTCAGGGGGATCCCGCCCTGATGATGTGTAAGCGAGGGAAATGGCGTCACACAGCCAGCGTGAAAGGCGCTGGGCCGACAGCGCCTGACCAAGGGAAGACTCCCTGTAGTGCACAAACAGGTTTTGTGAGCGACGAATCCCTGAAGTGCGTGACACATATCGTGCAAGCGCGCGCACCGGGCAGAGAAGGTGAGAAGCCGCCTCCTCCTCAGAATTATGGGGAGGAGGAAAAAGTCCAGCCAATGAAATTGACCTGGATTTTGAAGGAAGCATTAATGCTTTTGGGCACAAAGGCTGGGTTGGGGCATAAAACAGCAGACCCGCCATCCTCCCGGATCCTGAGGCATGCGGGAGCCACTGAGAGGGCGGTTAGGTCACTCACTCTCTTAACTGATGCTAGCGCCAGCAGCAATGCAGTTTTAAGCGACAGGAACTTGAGTGAGACCTGGTCCAAGGGTTCAAATGGGGCTTTGGATAAGCCGTGCAGAACCACCGTTAGATCCCATTGGGGAAAAAGCGGGCGGGACACAGGTCTGTTCCTTCTGACACCTTTTAGAAAACGTTTTGTGAGGGGATGATTGAAAACAGATCTATCTCCAAAACCCTGATGACATGATGAGATAGCTGCAGCATATGTCTTAACAGTGCTGAATGCGAGGCCCCTGTCCATCAGTATCTGCAAAAACGACAGAACATCCGCCAGCTGGCAGGAGAGCGCTTGAACATTCCGTTCTGCGCACCAGTTCTGGAAAGCTGCCCATTTAGCAGCGTAAGAGGCAATGGTAGAGGGCGCCCGCGCACTCTGAATCGTGGCCACCACATTATGCGGCAGCCCAGAAGCCTCTAAGCGTGACCGCTCAGCGGCCAGACCCACAGCCGTTGGCCTATTTCCGGAGGATGTTTGATTATCCCATCCGCCTGGAGAAGGGCGTCCGCCCTCCACGGGAGCCTCCACGGGGAGCCGGACACTAGCGCTTGCAGGTCCAGAAACCATGACGCGGACACGCGCCTGGGAGCCACCAGAATCACCGAGAGCTGTTCCGACCGAATTCGGTCCAGGAGACGGGGAATCAGAGGGACTGGTGGAAACGCGTAAAGGAGCGTTCGAGGCCAGGGCTGGTGTGAGAAGGCGTCCGCCCCGAGCGGGGGTCCGTCCCGGGGACTCAGGGAAAACCACAGGCGACACTGAGCGTTTTCGCGAGCCGCGAACAGATCCACAGACGGTTCCCCGAACCTGATCCAGATCTGTGATATCAGTGCAGGATGTAGACGCCAGTCGGAGTCGCGGGGTCCCCCTCTCGACAAGATGTCTGCCGCTACATTCAGTACCCCCGGAATGTAGATGGCTCTGATGGACAGCAGGTGGACATGTGTCCAACACAGTAAATCTGTGGCGACACGCAACAGTGGGAGGGATCGAACTCCCCCTTGGCGATTTATGTAGGCTGCCGCTACCCGGTTGTCTGTGTGAACTTCGACATGACGGCCCTCGAGAAGGGCAGCGAAGTGTCTGATCACATTCCTCACTGTCATAAGCTCCAACACATTTATGTGCTCGTGCGTGTGGGAGGGCCAGCGATCTGCCACCGTATGGGACAAGCACGTGCCCCCCCACCCCGACAGTGACGCATCCGTAAACACAGATATGTGTGACGCAGGACGTCCGATGGGAACCCCGCGTGAGAGGATGCAGGGGTTCCCCCAGTGAGCGAGGTCCCCGCCCACTGAAGGGGGAATCCTCAACATACGTCTCTTCTGACGTATTGGGTGTACCCGGAGGCGGACGAACCAGCGTTGCAAGCGCCTCGTGCGCAGCAAACCTAGCGGCACTACTGAATGGGCTGCGGACATCATGCCCAGGAGTTTCATGACTAACCGGGCTCTCACGATCTTGCGGGGTTGAACACGGGAGATCACCGTGGAGAGATCTGCCGCTCTTGCAGGCGACAAACGTGCTCTCATTAGGGAGGCGTCCAACTCCACCCCGAGATACACAATCGACTGGGATGGAAGGATGGAGCTCTTTTCCCAGTTTATAGAAAACCCTAGGGTTGACAGATGCTCTGTCAACCTCCTGGTTTGCTGTGACGCCTCGTCCTCGGACCGAGCGCACAGGAGAAGATCGTCCAGGTAAAATAAGACCCTCATTCCCTCCGTGCGCAGTGGCTGCAGCGCGGTCTCCAGACATTTGGAGAAAGTGCGCGGGGCTAGCGAGTAGCCGAAAGGGAGGCGATTGAACTGATATTGAACTCCTTTGAACGAAAAACGCAGAAACTTCTGGTGGTTTGGAACTACTGGTATGTGGAAGTATGCGTCTTTCAGGTCGATTGACGTGAACCAATCCCCGGGGCGCACATATTCCAGGACTTGTCTCATCGTTAACATGCGGAAATGCATTACTGCTATGGAGCAGTTGAACAGGGACAGGTCGAGAATCGGCCTCATTCCTCCCGACTTCTTCGGTACTACGAAGTAGCGGGAGTAGAAACCCGAGAGTTCTTGTCCGCGAGGGACTCGGGAAATAGCGTCTTTGGACAGAAGTTCCCGCAGCTCCAGCTCTAGCGCCTGAGACTGTACTTGCGATGTGAACGTCGTCTCCACGATCCCGTTGAAGGGAGGTGGAGTGGCCTGAAAATGAAGTGTGTGACCGCAATGAATGGTGTCCGAAATCCATTTGCTCATGATGCAAAGGCGGCGCCACTCGTGCGCGCGTTCCGACAGTGGACGCGTGTGCGCGGTCACGTGAACAACGTCTGAGGGTTGTGCATGCGCCCTTACCGCCGTCGCCCGTACCAGAGAACTGGGGGCGACCCATGGAGGGCTGCGCTCGAAAGGGCAAGTGTGAAACAGCTGGAACAGGCTGGTCCACACCGCGGAGCGTGGAGTCCGAAAGTGAAGGACGAGTGGGAGCCGGGCCTGTGCACGGGGGCGACAGAGTGCTAGCGGATAGAGCCGCGCACTGTGCCGCCGCGCGTGGTCGAGACAGCGACATGACATCCCGCCCCACCCAACGGCGTGGGGAGAGCGGGACGAGTTGGGCCTGGCCGGATGCTGGGGCCAGAGCGCAAATGGAGCGCACCCTTACGGCTGGCCGTGTATTATGACTACCTGCAGGAACATGTGTGCGTGCAGCAGTGCTTGGTGTGGGGAACATGTGTGAAAACTCGGCAGAGGATTCTGCGGAGGACTGTAGGATTGAGCTCTTTGAGTGACGTTTTTTGGGTTTTATTTCAAAACCAACAACATCAGAACAACCAGTAACACACACATTCCCCCCAAAGAGTCACTTCCGTGGCTGCTTTCGGCGAGGCTCCTGCACCTGGGACTGCCAAGACGGCGTCTGCTGGCCCCGCCGGAACCGTTGTCCGCCATCTCGCTGGTCCCGCTGATGTGGAGCCGAAGCGGGAGCCGGCTCCGTGGAGCGGGCGGCGCAGCTGGACGTCTGAAGCTTCCGCGCCGTTCGTCCCATCCTCTGGCTGAACGGCCGGAGTGCGAGGCTGACTGAGGGTGGACCAGGTCTCGCACCGTAGCCGATAGTTCGGCCGTCTTCTGAGCCCTCTCAATGACGCCCCTAAGATGGGGACCAAACAGAACATCGGTGGTGATGGGGCCATCCAGCATCTCCCTTTGCAGATGTTCCGGAATGGAGGGCAGGGCCTTCAGCCAGATCGCTCGCTGGATGAGGGTCTGCCAGGCAGCGATGCGAGCAGAACCGGTGAGCACAGCAGCACACAGATTGAGGATGGCAACAGCAGTCTTAGTTATGACGGCTTTCGACTCCTCGGGAGCTTCCAGCTCCTCCATCATCTTGGAGACGCCGAAGGCAAGAAGGGCGATGTTATTCCCTGCAGCGCCGGTCTGAAAGGCACACTGATGTGCACGGTCGGTGAGCCGCGTCAGCAGCTGGTCATGTTTTGAAGCGGGAACAGCTCGCGGGCCAGCGAGGTGGTTCTTGGCGCCGAACAGCGAGGCCAAATCCGGCTCTAGTGGAGGAACGGACGGCTAGCCTTGGTCGGAAAACCCCTCGACCTTGGTGATGGGCGCATATGTGGAGACTGGCGCCTTGAGCTTGGCAGGCTCGGAGAAGGCGGCAGACCAGCAGCTCATAGCAGCGGGGAAGCGCGGCCAGACAGGGTCTGGACAGCGTGTCTGAGTTGCCCCGAAAATTCCCGCCAAATCATCCGCTTCAGGCAGGGCCGGTTCTGGCACAGCTAGCCCCTTGCGGGCTGCTGCCGCAGAAATGATGGCGGGCAGCTCCTGGAGCAGTGCTCTTACTGCTGGCAGGGAGGAGCGAGAAGCCACTGGGGCAGAAGGACCCGCTGAGCGAAGCTCGTCGACCTCCGTTATGTCTAGGAGGGACGCCGCCTCATCGTAGTTTTCGCTGTCAGTGACGTCATCCAGCCGGTTGAAGCCAGCCGGCTCCTGACCGGCATCGAAGAAAACCAAAGCCTTGTCCAGCGGGTAGGAGTCAGCCACCGGAAATTCTTCGTCGGCGGCGGGAGTGAAGTACTCGACCCGGCGAATCTTCTCCGCCACGGGCAGAGCGGCACAGAACGGGCACGAGGCCTGCGGGGTCAAGGCCAGGCCAGCGTGGTGAGCCCCGAGACAGACCTCACACTTAGCGTGCAGGTCGCCGCTGGAAATGGAGCCCGTCTGGCAGGTCGGGCAGGGTCTGGTGTCGCTGGACATGGCTGGTAAGTCGTCTTCGGATAATTTGCTCTTTTGAGATAATATTTGCTCTTTAATAAAGCTCTCAAGCTTGGCATGAAGAGAAAAAGGAGGTGAGCAGTGGGGTCACTGCGGTTATATACCACGAGGGGGCCCACTATTGGTGGGCGTACATTTAAGCTCTTCATGATTGGCTGATGCGGAGATCATCCTTCCAATAGCAGCTAGCTTAAGGGCTAAGACTAGACGAAATAGAACTGAATTTGCGTTGTTACAAATCGTGTTTTTATATGCGTGTTAAATTTGATTTAGTGTGTTTATGCTTGTATGTGTGGAGATGATTGATTGGAATTATCTTGATGTTCTGTTGATAATGTCCACTGTAAATTGTCAGTAAACACTAGCTGATTAGTCTTCAGGTAACCTATTACGTTTGTTTGTTTTTCTCCACTCAATAGGTTATATTTTCATTTAAAAGCTGAAAATGTGTCATTGTGATACAGCAGATATTCTTAATTTGCACTACATGTCCTATGAATGTTTTCCAATATGAAATGTAATATATTCTTGCACAAAAGCCAATTTGGCTCATCACCTAAAATTTGTTTACTTTCTACTTTTGTGTTAGATTTCTTAGTTTGCCACTTTGTCTTGAAATAACTTAATTCTTTGTAATACCATAGTGATAATTTTCACAATGTTGCAAAATAGTTTATCATGGTATTCATAGGTTAAACATTTGTTAAATACAGATTTAACTACACTCATGTTTATATCCATATAAAATAACAGGACCACTTTATAATTTCCACAGGTTTACTGTAATAATGCGGAACACAAACAACAGATTACAAGAGCATGAACAACAGAAAAAGGATTGAGAGGATGGTTACAACCCAGATTATTTGAATAAGGAGACATATATTGATGGAAATAAAAAGCTTTTTATTTTCAGCGTGTCCTTTCTGGCAGTGTGGTACTGAGTACCAGGTACAAGCCCAACAGATTCACTTTCTCAAACAGAGCATTACAGTTTTTGCTATAGTACTCCAAGAAGAATGATCAAAAACTCTCACAAAAAAAACAGGCATCAAAACACAAACCAAGATGTGGGAGAACCACTGATGGGGAACCTGGTCACTACAACCAGGGTGGTGTGTGTGTGTTCTTGTACATACTACATACTGAGGACCATTTTCCCTACAAAGTGAGGACATTTTTTGGTCCTCACTTTTTTTAGAAGCATACTAGAAGCTTACTATACCACTTAGAGGCATAGTGTGAATTAAGTTTTAGTTAAGGTTAGGAAAAGATCAGCGTTGGTTATGGTTAGGGTTGGGGTATGGGTTAGGCATGGTGAAATCACAAAAATGAATGGAAGTCAATGGAGGGTCCTCAAACAGACGTGTGTGTGCATGCGTGCGTGTGTGCGTGCGTGTGGTTGTGTGTGGAGACGGGGGCGGCGACAGAGCGGACACATTAATTGTTCATTTGGCTGCAAAAGTGGCTGCAGTAGCCTGGGAGCATCTCCTCCGGGTAAAGTGCCCTTAGTTCTCCTCTTTTTCCTCTGCCAACCTATCCTGTAATAATAAATAAATTAAAAAAATCAACCAGAGAAGAATAGGCTCCAAGTGGTATGGTTTTCATTATGTGATGCATCATTGAGATTTTAATTGTATGTAATGACAACAATATAAGATTATTGAGTGTTGCATACCTCTGGGGCAGTGTTTGTATTGGTCTCCACATTGAAGGCAGATCTCAATAGAGTACATGTTAAAGTACTGATCTCTGTACTTTTCTGAGAACCTGCTCCATGTGCAAACACCTGTGGAAAGCAGAAGTATAAAAACAAGATTACATTTCCATGCTGTCAGTGAAAAACGTGACAACAGCAACAATAACTGTATATATAATTTCATTATTTACTGAAGTCCTCACTGTGAAGCCACTTGAAGTGTGCTCATTTACCGATAGCTGTTGCGGTAAGTATGTCACATTCATTGTCCAGTAGCATGCGGAGATCATTTGAAAGACAATGGTAGAACCCGTCCCACAACCGAGAGCCGTCAATGGAGCGTTGCCAGACTAAATAATACATTTATTTAGTCTGGCTTGCCAGGCTACAATCCTCATATAAACCCTCTGATCTCTATTAAGGTAGTGCGACTCGGGTTGTGAATGGCCACAGTCACCAATTCTTGTCATGTGTCCATGTATGTATATCTGATCTCAGAATTGTGTGTACTGAAACTCTAGTTTCCCTCTGGGATTAGTAAAGTATCTTTGAATTGAATTGAATTGTAACCTTACAACCTCAGCACAGACAAAATTGTGGGGACCTTTTGAGGGGTCACGGACCCTAGATTGGTAACCACTGACTTAAAAGAATGTTCAATATCACTACCATATCTGCCATTGTTGTGTTTTTGTGTGTTGGGATATAGTGATATCTCAGTGCTGCAAATCTTTGCTTGGTCTGGATAGTCGGACTTGCCTATCCCTCCAACCAAGCTTTTGTTGAAGCAGGTCCCCGTATCACTCCTCTATCGTGCCGAGTATAAAGACAAATATTCAGCCCCACAGCAGAATACCTGGGACACAGGGAATGTGTTTAAATAATTTTCACAGTTTATCAGGACCACAAGAAATCATCTGAAAAATGTCCAACTTTGGAGTTTGGAGCACCCGAGTGCTGCCAGGGGAGACTAGAGACGTTATCCCAGGTGTGGTTGTTGTAAGGGTCCTCAGCTTTGGGTGGTGATCTGGGGGCTTTCGGGTGCTTCATCTGGGCTAATTAGGGCCACATTTTGTGCCACAGTAATACTTTGCTGAGATGGAGTACTCTCTCCATTGAGAGCTACACAGATTTTAGCAGGGTTCAATCTAAATGCTGGAAACGCCGTCGTCGTCTTCCTCTGCTTGTCCGGGTCGCGGGGGCAGCATCCCAACTAGGGAGCTTCAGACCGTCCTCTCCCCGGCCTTCTCCACCAGCTCCTCTGGCAGGACCCCAAGGCGTTCCCGGACCAGATTGGAGATGTAACCTCTCCAACGTGTCCTGGGTCGACCCGGGGGCCTCCTGCCGCCAGGACATGCCCGAAACACCTCCCCGGGGAGGCGTCCAGGAGGCATCCTGACCAGATGCCCAAACCACCTCAACTGGCTCCTTTCGACCCGGAGGGGCAGCGGTTCTACTCCGAGTCCCTCCCGAACCTCGCCCTATCTCTAAGGCTGAGCCCGCCCACACTACAGACGAAACTCATTTCGGCCGCTTGTATCCGCGATCTCGTTCTTTCGGTCATGACCCAAAGCTCATGACCATAGGTGAGGATTGGGACGTAGATCGACCGGTAAATCCAGAGCCTGGCTTTCTGGCTCAGCTCCCTCTTCACCACGACAGATCGGCTCAGCGTCCGCATCACTGCAGACGCTGAACCAATCTGCCTATCAATCTCTCGATCCCTCCTACCCTCACTCGTGAACAAGACCCCGAGATACTTAAACTCCTCCACTTGAGGTAGGACCTCTCCCCGACCAGGAGTTGGCAAGCCACCCTTTTCCGGTCGAGAACCATGGTCTCAGATTTGGAGGTGCTGATCCTCATTCCAGCCGCTTCACACTCGGCCGCGCACCTACCCAGCAAGAGCTGAAGGTCAGAGCTGGATGAAGCTAGGTGGACCACATCATCCGCAAAAAGCAGAGACGAGATTCTCCTGCCACCAAACTCAATACACTCCACACCACGGCTGCGCCTAGAAATTCTGTCCATAAAGGTAATGAACAGAACCGATGACAAAGGGCAGCCCAGTGGCCCTCACACCCCCCACTTTAGCCAGGGTGAGGAAGCAGGGCCTGTCCATGATCCTAATAGCACCACGGTGGCTGGGGAAACATTGATCGGTGGAGCTCAGGATTTGCTGATCGGTGGAGATCTCCCAACTCCTGTGAGGTTCTTTGTGGCAACTACCGCTTCGCAGGGACCTGTTGTCCCAGGCTCATGGGTAGACACACCACCCACATCTAGAAAGGCTGGCCCTGTGGGCGTGGCCCCTGAGAGGCAGACTCTGTGTGCAAACCCCGCTTCACCCCGCTTCTCCTCCAGCTTCACTGGCTGCCAGTCAACGTCAGGGTTCATTACAAGATCCTGGTTCTGGTCTATAGGGCCTTACATGGACAAGCACCATCTTACATTAGTGATCTTCTCAGTCCCTACACCCCCAGCAGGTCCCTGAGGTCCAGTGGTCCAGTGATCAAAGCCTTCTGGTTGTGCAGCACCAGGCTAAAGACCAAAGGTGACAGATCATTTGCTGCTGTGGCCCCCAGACTCTGGAACTCTCTCACCCTGAGCCTGAGATCAGTGGACTCAGTGGTCTCCTTTAAAAAGCAGCTGAAGACTCACCTGTTCAAGCTGGCTTTTGTATGACCTTCTTCACCACTCTCTCTTTATTCTGCTCTCCCCACCTATTCCACCTTCCTCAGGATCCACTGATTTCCCTCTTTCCTATTCACTCTCTCTTTCTTAACATTTTTTAAATCACAATTGTCTATTTTTTGCTCATTTTAAATATATTTTAACCATTTTCTAAATTCTTTTTTTTATATTTTTACATTTTTTGTTTTTGTGAAGCGCCTCATGATTTTTATCTTGAGAGGAGCTATAGAAATATTTTCTTCTTCTTCAAAGGAGCCTTCAGCTAGTGTTATCGACACCATCCAGTGTGCCAGAGCTGCATCAACCAGATCCCTGTATGCACTCTCACACCAACTCTTACCAGTGTTCTGTAGCAGTGATCTTGTCATTTTTACAGGACTTCATGGAGAAGGGCAAAACCTTCTCAACCATAAAGGTACGTCTGGCGGCCATTGCAGCCTGTCACACTGGCTTTGGTGGAAAAACAGTGAGCCAACACCCATTAGGTGCAGTTTTATGAAAGGGGTACATCGCAAACTGCCAACATCCAGGCCCCCACCATGGGACCTTCTCACCGTTTTAGAAGCTCTGTCCTGTTCCCCGTTCGAGCCTCTGGAGGAAGCTGAGCTTCGTTTGCTATCCCTAAAAATGGCTCTGCTACCCGCTCTAGCCTCAGCTAAACGAGTTGGTGAGCTTCATGCCCTTTCTGTTCATGAGACTTGTATGCATTTTTTTCCTCATGACTCGAAGGTCGTTCTGCAACCCAACCCAGCTTTTGTTCCAAAAGTAGTGGGTTCTTGTTCTCCAGTAGAGCTGACAGCATTTCATCCGCCTCCTTATACTACAGAGAAGTAGAGGCATCTGCATACCTTGTGCCCGGTGCCTGCACTGAGGTTTTATGTGGACAGGACACGTGGTTTCAGGAAAACCACTCAGTTATTTGTTCCCTTGGCAAAACCACATGCTGGTAAACTTGTGTCAAAACAACGTTTTTCTTACTGGATTGTGGAGGCTATCATCCTGGCATATTCCAGCAAGGGCCTCCAGCCCTCGTCTGGTCTACTTGCACATTGCACCAGGGGGCTTGCGTCTTTGTGGGCCCTGTTTAGAGGGGTCTCTATTCAGGAAGTGTGTGCAGCTGCGTGCTGGACTTCTTCCAACACGTTTGCTAAATTCTACAAGCTCTACAGGGACTCGACTCTCATCGTTCACTTTGAAAACCCGATCAATAGATTGGATTTGTTCGTGAACGTCACATCACTATTTACAACACTGCGTGTAACCTTGCGCCATCTGCAAATGATAAAGCACCTTGTGGCAACACCCCAGGGAGTCCCACAAAGCTTCACCTCAAAGTGGCCAAAGCTGCAAAGCATTTCTGGTTTGGTTCGCTACAAACAAAGCAACCTCTAAGTTTGACACCGTGCCGTAACCAGTTACTCTTCACCTTCCTAAAATAGCTTATTACTCATTTCCAGGATTTTCATTTCTGCATCATGTTTCAAGCCTCTCTGTTGCATATTTTCTGCATGTTCAGCTTCTCGTTTTTTATACTCAAAAGCAGATTCTTCTCTAAATGCTGAAATTTCATCTTCCAATTTCTGGATTTCTCTCTCAGTTTTGCTTATTTTTGTTTTTCAACTCCCTGTTGAGTTCATCTAAATCCTCTTTTGAAGACATTTTAAAATCGCGTTTGATCGGTCGAGTGCTCTGACCAACAATGACTTGTAGTGTGAAGTGATGTTCTATGTATGACGTACCAAAGCTTATCACGTGAACCAGAATGTTTTTATAATGCACGCGCACGTAGCAGCAGACACAAGAGCACACCCACTCTCATGGCGGTCAAGAGCTAACAGAACTTGGCATAAACCGAATTAGTGAAAATGTGTAAAATAATTTTTTACCTGAAATGAAAAAAGTTTATTTTAAAGAGCAAGTCACCCCCTACAAAAAACTTACTTCACTCCCACTTCATGTTTGAAAAATGCAACAAATGCTGTTGCCTGGCAGACCGAGAGGGCGGAGCCACTAACAAAAACACACACACACACAGGCTCACAACGGCATTGTGACATCATAATGAACCAGTTTACATCATAGCATACCTCTTAGCCAATAGTGGTGGCAGATTTAAATTCAAATATAGTGCAGAGTTTTTACCTGACGACGGCGCAACACTGACAGTTTTAGGCAGACAATTTAAATTTTAACTAAGATGCACTGAAGTGCCAAATTATTGACTATGCGTGTCTACAGCACGATTAGACACTCGTTTCTTTAGTTTATCAGCAAAAAAAGTTGATTTGGGGGTGACTTGCTCTTTAAGACGATGAATCATATTTGTTCATGCTCTGAAAGTTTTAGACTAAGAATTGGTACTAATCTCACACGTCACATCCCTGTTCACAAAAACTCATACCCAACAAAAAACTGATATAGTAGTTAAATTCAGACAGGGCAAAAGAGCAAACCTCACAACAGACCGCATAGCACAACTGATAAAACCGGTAGCAAACCACTTACTTCACATGTGACAGAACAATATTCAAACAACGGGAAGGCTTTGCCATGGGTAACCCACTATCAGCCAAGCCATAGCCACTGTCCCCCCAAACTGCAAAATATAATTATGGAAACACTACATGAACGACATAATAGAAATCCTTTCAAAAGGACAACGACACAAACAGAACACCTGAACAGCATTGACAATGCAAACAACATTAAATTTACCTATGAGGAAGAAATAGAAGACAACATCATGTTCATGGACATGAAAAAAGCAGACAAAAAGATGGGACCATGAACATAAACACACACACCAGTCTTTATTATGGACATCAGAACACCCTACCATACATAAACATTCAGTGATCAGAACATTATACCACCCAGCAAACATATTAACAGAAGAACAAGACCGTAAACAAGAGCGCCAACATATACAAAATGCTTTAAAGACCTGCAGATACCCAGCATGGACAATAAACAAAGGAAAACAACAACAGAAAGAAAAGAACAACCAAAACAAAGAACCAGAAATCCTGAAAGACAAGAACCTATAAGCCTTCCATACATCAAAGGCATAACAGAAAAAATAATAATGAAAAAACACAACATAAACACGCCAACATAAACCACACACAACAGAAAAAAGACTAGTACACCCAAAAGACAGGACATCAGCAGGACATAAGTGTGGAGTTATTTATAAGATCCCATGCAAACTCTGCAATAAAACATACATAAGAGGAACCGGATGCCAACTCAACACACAGACAATAGAACATAGGAGTGTGAGAAAGAAACAAATCCAAGACACACAAGAGCCACGAAACAAGAAGCAGAAAGTACAATAAAGAAATCAGCCATAACAGACCACAGATTATAAACATTGAACAACAAAATTACACAAGATGGATGAAGGAAGCCATAGAAAAAGGTGACGTGGACACACAACAATGAACAGAGACGATGGGGTTTACACTTTGGATCATGCATTGGACTGTGTCATCGGCGAGGAGAACACGGGCATCAGAGGGCAACACCGTCCTCTGCTGCCCGCGGATAAACGGAGAAGGAATTGATGCCATCAACAGCGGCAAGCTCTGAGGAAGGCTAAAGCGTTAGCTGAAACGTTGGCAAAATCAAGATAAAACAACTCTTTTGTTGTGTTGGAAAAAATAACAAGTAAAGCAGTAATTCATGCAAATTTTGTCATGAAATTGTTTGTTTAAAAGTTGTTACTAAACATTTTTTTAAGTAACACAAACAGCGATCGGCATGCGTTTCGGTCAGTTGTTTTTGACCTGAATCTGCATGGGGCACAGGAGACAGCGATGTCTGGGGCACAGGAGACGGCTTTTTCTGGGGGCCCTGAAGACTGGATCCCTGAGGATTGGACAACTGGAGCCTGGTTGACTGGAGACTGGGCAGACTGAACCACTGAGGGCTGGGTGACTGGAGCCTGAAACTGAAGGAGGCAGGAACACCTCAGACAGAAACCCTGGAAACGACTCGTCAAGTGGCTGGAGCTTGGGCTGGCCGGATGCACAGACCAAGGGATGACTTCACAACACTTTTTGGAACCTGACCCATCAGAGAACTGGAGGTGACATCAGGAGGAGCTGCGCCCGCAGTGCTGATCAGAAAATGGGGGTGATGGCAGAGCTTGGACTCGCTCCCAACATTTAAAAACCAAACTCAATATCTTAAAAATCAATCAAAACATTTACAGGCAATCATTGGAGGAAGGAAAGTATCAGTCACTTGCTAAATGGCCTGTATTTGCTATAGCGTCTTCTAGAGTCCTGCCCCCACCCCCACCCCCCCACCCCAGGCACTTTACAACACACACACATTCACACGCTGGTGGTAATAAGCTACTATGTAGCCACAGCTGCCCTGGGGCACACTGATAGAGGCGAGTCTGCCGTACACAGGCGCCACCGGTCCCTCCGACCACCACCAGAAGGCAAGGGGGGTTAAGTGTCTTGCCCAAGGACACAACGACAGCGACAGACTGAGCGAGGCTTGAAACTGCAACCTTCTGACTACGATTACGGGGCGAGCACTTAACTTCTTTGTCACCGTCACCCAATGTACCCATAAGCAGACAGACAGCAGTGTTTTGGACCTGTTGCAGGTGGCATTGATGAGAGTTGGCCAACCCAGCATAAATCAAGTTGCAGTATCCCACAGTCCAGATACAACAAAGGTCTGTATCAGCCTTTCAAGGCCAACATATGATGGTTTGATTTAGCTAATTACCCTTAAATAATAAAAGCTAGACTGGACTACTGCACTGAGCTGTTTTTCAAATTTATCAAAAAACAAATACTCCAAGATTCTTGACAGCAGTACAGTTAAAAGACTGGGGGCATCTAATAGTTTTGTTGTATTCTGATAGGATGTCAGTTTCCTCCAAAACAACCAGCTCTCTGTTGATTTCATTCAAATGTAGGAAGTTCATCTCCACCAAAGTTTCCAATTTTTTATTTTATGTTAAACAGAATCGGTAATGACCGACTTCCACTTGCTCTTACTGGGAGATCCATTGCAGATTATAAACAAAAAAATGAAATGATCTAGCATGCATCCTAAACATTGACCCAAAATAAAGCAATAAAAAAAGACCTAAAATAGAGCCATGAGGTATACCTCACAGTTAAGAGGGGCCTCATAGGAGGAAACCTGACCCAATGGACAGAAAAACGTCTCAAGACAGATAGGATTTAGTCAAGTTAAACATTCCAGTTTGACAAAAGCAGCAATCAAATCATCCAAGATGAATGCAGCAGAAACCGTATTAAACCTGTGGATGCTGTGCCATAATTTAAAACCAGACTGAAGTTCTTCCGTAATCCCACGCAGCTGAGGATGTTCATAGATTTGGAAGTAGATTCTGTAAAACTTGACAGAAAAGACAACGTAGAAACATGCCCACATACAGTAATTTGGAATTTGTGTTGCTTTGAACCACTGTCAAATAGTTAGTGAGTGATTTGCATGCCTGTAAGAAATGCTTGGCATTTATTGTAATTTGTTTACACTTTTCAGACATCTGTGGAGGGTTCTCAAAAAAGAGATCAGTAAAATTAGTTCTATGTGTTTGATGGATGCTTTTGTCCACACTGACTTACAAATATTTACATGCACCCACATCACTAAAAGAACATGCAAAAAGAAAAGAAAACCAAGCACTAACACAAATTCAGAGAAAAGAGTGAAAAATCTGTTAAGACCTGCAAACCTCATGAAATGGCACCATTGTCACGTTTGGGCAGGAGGAGGTCAGGACCCAAGATGCAGAAACCCAGAACGACACAAGGCAGGAGCGTAGTAAAACATAAAATCCTTTTATTAGGAGTCAATGTCCAAAAATCCAAGAAGGGGCAGGAAGTCAAGCCTAAAGTCAGTAACCCGACTGACAAAAACAAAAAGCTGTTTGATGAGCAAAACCTAGAGTTTCACGAGGAGGAACAGAACAACACTGACAGCGACAATGGACCGACACACACTGAGAGACAAGACAGGGTTTTATCCACAGGGGCTGGGTGATTAGGAAACGAGCAGCAGGTGCGTGGGGAGAGAGAACCAGAGGAGAGCCTGATGAAATCAATAAACCAAATGGGAAGGGAAAACTAAGCAGAGGAGGAGAATAAGCCATAACCTATGAGACTACATAAATAAACCTAAAAGACTCAGGGCACAGGAGAACCAAAATATAAATAACTAAAACCTGAGGAGTGAGGGAGAAATAAACAAGTGGAGAAGGAAAACACACACTAAAGGAGACAAATGAAAACCTGAACCTATAGAAAACTACGGGGAGTGACTAGAAGGGAACCTGAGAGGAAACCAGGAGGGGACTGGGGACCACAAGGAGACAGAAACCTAAGGGGAACCCCTAAGGGGAAAACCTGGAGTGGTCTAGGGAACACAAGGAGGCACCTGAGTGGGGACGTAGACAAGGGGACACATGAGGGAACCTGGAGGGGGCTGGGGACCACAGGGACACAGAACATGACAACCATTAACTTTGTTGCGTGTTGTGGACGGTGTTGCGTTTGTAATCAGGCAGCGGAGGCGACGTCTCGGTTCAACACTTATTTCAAGCTTTACAGCGATACACCATCTTGTTAACTCCCTCTCTCTTCTTCTTCTCCCCTGTTCCTCCTTCAGCCTCTTTAGCGGCACCCCTGGTCTGACAGTGTAACAGCATGTAATAATTTGCCTCCTTTACTACAGAACTTCTTAAACACAACATCTCCCCCTTTACTCAAAATAATATTCACTCCTTTGCAGCACAACATGAAACACTCAACGGCATTTTAAACCTGAGGCAATTAGTAACTTCAGAACAGTTTTATATATCCTCATACAGAACTGTAATGGCAAAACAACCTGGACCCCGGATCAACCCTGAATCAAAGGAACAAAACATTGCGTTCTTCTCAGCTGATCAAAAGTCACAGCTAGGATTAAAGATAGGTAATGAAACTCAAATACACTTTCCATTCACAGTCATTTCTCACATCTGCATATTCCTCCTTCATTGTTACCTCTGAACTACTTCATAATAAAGTCTTTTGTCCATCTTGGTGGTTGTCTGTCCCTCTGCAACGTGGGACGTGTAGCTGTCTTTGTTAAGCTGATATTCTCCGCCTCTGTATCAGCTCTTTGTGTGTGTTTTGCGTTCTCTGGGACGAGTGAGAGGCGTGCGGCATTCCATCTTCTCCCATCGCTGAGGACGAAAGAACTCTCACCTGTCTGCTGCTGTACCTCCAGCGGCTTGGTGTACTGTGGCTCTCCTTTTCACACATGGAATGGCTTTCGTACTCTCACTGAAGCACCCACAGTCACTTTAGTAGGTTTAGCACCTCTCTTCTTGTCTGTATAAAGTGCACTTCTTTTCTGTGTCAATGTCACTTTGGACCTGATGTGGTCATATTGTCCAGCCTCCTTCGGTGGTGGCAGGATATTGAGTTTAGTCCGCATGGCTCTTCCTCTGAGGAGCTGGAAAGGGGACTCCCCGGTTGGAGCATGGGGGGTCGCTCGATAAGTTTGAAGCAGTTCTGTGACCACAGTTTTCCATGGTCGCTGAGTAGCTTGTGCTGTCTGTATGGAGTCCTTCAGTACTCTATTAAAGCGCTCCACACCCCCATTTGCTTGAGGATGATAGACGCTTGTCCTGATGTGTTTAATGCCTCTTTCAGCAACAAACTCAGCAAACGCAGAGGAGGTGAACTGCGGACCATTATCAGTCGTAATTTCATAAGGATTCCCTTCGCGGGCGAAAATAGAAGTCAGGAATGCAATCACTGTCGCCGTTGAGGCGTTTGGTGTGAATGCGACTTCCGGCCACTTACTGAAATAGTCAATTAGTGTGATGGCAAACCTGCAGTCATAGGTTCCTTGTTCAAACGGACCAACCAAGTCGACAGCAACATGTTGAAACGGCCCCTCTGGGAATTTGATGGGTTGTAACGGTGCAGGTGAAGCAGCTGCTGTTCTGTCACATGACTGGCAGGTTGTGCATGTGGACACTATATCGTGGACCAGCTCATCCATGTGTGGCCACCAATATAGGTCTCTCAGGCGTTGTTTGGTACGGACCATGCCTTGATGTCCTTCATGGGCCAGGTGCACTACTTTCCCTCGCAGAGATTTGGGAACGATCAGCCGTGTTCCTCTAAATATCAGCGGTGACTCCGTTGCCAGTTCATGTCTGACCAGGAAGTAGGGTTTGACATCATCTGGTAAGGTTTTGCTTACTTTCGGCCAGCCAGAGAGGATGATCTGTCTTAGTTTTGTTAATTCAGGACAGTCTTCACATTCTGCTTTGAAGTCAGCCAGTGGAAGCGCTTTAAGCTGAGGAGAAATTTCAGCAATCTCTGTGATTAGGTCCTGCTCAGAGTCTTCCTTTGTGTTTGCGGTATGCAGGGGAACACGGGACATACAGTCAGCTATAATATTTTGGCTTCCTGGACGGTACTCTAAGTCATACTGGAAACACATCAGTCTGGCAGACCAACGTGCTATCCTCATGCCAGCTCTGTTCATCCCCTTAGTACTTAACAGGGTGGTGAGGGCCTGGTATCAGTTCTCAGAGTAAACTTGCGTCCCCATATGTACGTCCTCCATCTTTCGACGGCCCATACGCAGGCGAGAGCTTCTTTTTCAATTGTTGAATATTTCCTCTCGGCTGGGGACAGGGTGCGGGAACCAAAAGCAACAACCCGTTCCTCATTGTTTGAGTTTGTTTGGGTCAGAACAGCTCCAAGGCCATAATCTGACGCATCAGTGGTGATGAACGTTGGCAGATTTGGGTTGAAGATTGCCAGTGCTGGGCTTTTTAGTAGCATTTCCTTCAGTTTGTTGAAGCTTTCGTTTGCTGCGTCAGTCCATTGAAGTTCAGCCGCCTGACTTGTCCGAAGTAGCTCACGGAGTGGTTCCACCACAGTTGCATAGTTCGGTAGGAATTTGCTGAACCACGAAGTCAAGCCTAAGAAGGAACGAAGGGCAGCCATGTCCTTTGGTGCAGGAGCTTTGGCAATGGCAGTCAGGTGGTCTGGGCTGGGGCTCAGGCCATCCTTAGAGATGATGTGTCCCAAGAACGGAATAGATGTCTGTCCAAATGAACTTTTATTGAAGTTGATCTGCAGACCAACATCTTTCAGGCATTGTAGGACAGCTTGTAACCGTTCATCATGCTCTTCTCTGGAATGCCCATACACTATTATGTCATCCAAGTAGTTCTGTACTCCTGCCTGGCCTCT